TTCCACACACACATGTACACAAAACCATCATCACCACCACCACACATACACGGCGTGTCGACCGGCACTCCGGCACTCCTTGGTTAGTTATTTTGACCAATGGTGATGCTCTAAAACTGTAAAACATGTCACACCCCCAGTCTGTCGCACGCGACAAGAACCTCAAAAGCTACATGGACCTATCGCAGGCAACGGTCACGCACGACTAAACATCACGTATAAGGAGACGGTGTCTATTATCTTACTTGAATGGTTTTTGAGCGGCAAGGACGAGACGCGGCGCGACACACATAAGGAAACAAACTCTACGAGTTTACTGTACTTGCAACATAAATCGGTCATATAGGTGACAAAGATTAGAAGCGTTACTAGAAAGCAACATACACTGTACAAAAAAAAAAAAAAAAAAAAAGAGGTGGAGATAAGGACAAGAGATGTTTGAAGGTAAAGAAGGAACAAACCGCCTACCACCCAAGTTCTCCCAAAGTGTTCATAGACACAGAAATCCACCATAAACTACACTCGAAACTGTAACAGTTCAAGCTTTTTTCACATTCATTAGCCTAAAATTTATAACAGCGGAAAGCCTTGACCTAGATCTATTTCCCTCCCCTTTATATAGGGCAAGAAATCAAGGGGAAGACCTCGTGGAACCTGGAGAAGAATCACAGAAATCGATGTACAGAAAAGTGGGAAGACATGGAATAACATCAAGAGGCTAGCCCAGGATAGAGAAAAGTGGAGAGTGTTTGTCCGTGGCCTATACCCTGGTGCAGGGTGAGAAAGGCAATGATGATGATGGTTCTAGCAGTAAAATTTTTCAGGAAAGAGTTAGGCCACAACCAACAACAACAAAAAGGGCGAGGCACCGGTAGCACTGATGTAACACGTTGCATTGCGTGGCACTAAAAATAAAACACGGTGACCTTCATTTCCATCCAACGTGGAGGGCGGGAGGGCGGGAGGGAGGGATGGGATAGAATGCGCGCGTGAGGGTTTGGCTCCCTCGGAATGATGTAACACTACCACCCTGACGGACTGACACGCCGGCTGTATACACACAAACAGTGGTGGTGAA